TCTACCAACCCACTAACGATTCTCGACCTTGGGAATTATTTATCGTCCTATTTCACTCACAATCCTTGGATTACAAAGACTGGAGAGGTGGTCAAAGTGAGCAAACCTATGTTGCTCACCAGCTTGAAAGAACTCAGAAGATACATTTCCATTCGTTATCTCCCTGTCCTTACGGTATATACACATATTATATCTTCTCTTTTTTCAGCAAAGACTCATTTTGCACTCAAATTGGGTTTGTGTTTGATTTAACATGTTTCTCTTTTGGACAATTTTTTATCATTTACAAAGGTCTTGAAGTTGTTGAACGTGGTACTATTTCATTATTTCGAAGAGAAGTGTGTGATCGTTGAGAAAAACATCAATTTAGTCATGCGTCTTGCGGATCTCTACACCCCATACTTGTTCTTCTATGGAAGGTATAAATATATATAGTACGTATAGTACATATTGATTATTATTTCTTACGTCCTAAAAAATCTTTTCAGCACTTTCACTTTTTATTATTCTAAAAAAATACTTTTATTTTCAATTAAAAGCTCCATGTTTTTATTAATCTACTTATCAAATGTATTTATCTTACCATACTATAAAATAAGGACAAAATTTAGAAATAATACTAAAAAATACACATTCATTAAATCATATTTTTTGTCACAAGCGGAGTATTTGTGTTGTGATAAATCAATTCGACTTTTTCACGTGTTTCTATATGTGTGTCACTTTTTCATGTATCACTTTATTTAACTACTTTGTGTGGATTTTGCAGCTTTGATGACACGAACACGAGAAGATTGAGGAAGGCTATTGCTGAAACAAGTATGGCGGAAACCCTATATTTCGACGCACAAGGCATTGTCTGGGAAGATTACTTCAATGACACCCACATTCCCGGAGTTGTCAAATTTGCCTTCTAATAATTAATATTAATGCTTGGAGGGTGATTATATTGTTATCACTCCGAAATTAATTGTTTTACAATTTGTCCAAAATATGTACGTGTAATTGGTCAGGTTGACGACTATTGAAGTTATAAGTAATTAATCTCAGTTTATGCTTTAGCCTTTTATATATGTCGGTAATTTTAGTGCGTGTACTAGCTAGCATTCGTCCTTAACGAAAGTTTACCAAGTTAAAGAAAAAAGAAAAAAAATGTATTTTTAAAATAGTGAAACTTTTATAGTGCGTTTTGCTTAGAGGAGAGATTGGAGAAGATTTTGAGCAATTCATTCTTTGAAAAGAGTAAATTTTTAAAGTGGATTACACACTCGCGTTTAAGATACTCCCTACAATTTAATAAATAAAATATACTCCCTCTGTTTGCAAAAAAACTTCCTACTTTGACTTGGAGCCAAAATAAAGAAGTATAAAATTATAGTTGACTTCCAATTTTGCCCCTGATGTAATGTGTAAAAGTAAGATGTGATGAATTGATTATTAGAGAAAAAGTATGATGTGATAGGTAGAGTATGAAAAAGTAAGAGGTAAAATTGGTTTTTTAATAGAAAGTGGAAGTGTTTTGTTGGAAGTAGAAAAAATGAAAGAAGAAGTGTTTTTGAGAACGGAGAAAGTAGTTGGTATTTGTCAAGGAACAAACTCAACCAGAAGCTCACGCTTGTGGTTGTGGCCCAGGAACAGTTATTTATATTCTAACACGCTTCCTCACGTGCAGGCGTAGTCTTTTTTTGAGCCTTGCACGTGAAACCTTAATTTTTTTTTTAAACTGGGTGGCGCTGAGTTTTGAACCCGTGACCTCTTAGTCAACGAGGCTCCGATACCATGTCAAGGAACCAACTCAACCAAAAGCTCAAGCTTGTGATTGTGGCCCAGGAAGAATTATCTATATTCTAACACGCCCCCTCAAGTGCAGGCGTAGTTTTTTTCGAGTCTTTTAAGCCCACCTCGTTTGTCAAGGTGTCCGTCTAGACGTTCATTCCTAGCGGCCCGTTTGTCTTAGCCCAGTTGTCCGTATGGAGTATGTACCCAACGGCCTGGGGCCTGTTTAACACGATTGCTCGTCTGGAAGTCCATACCCAGCGACTCGTTGTCCTTTAGGTGTTGGCGCTCATTAAAAAGAAAATCAAGGGAATGGGAGTTCATTTGCAAGTGGTCAACCGGTTAGATTCAAAATGGCCCGGTTGTCCACTTGAGGGGGAGTACGTGTTAGAGTGGCATCCCACATCGGAAGTTCAAGACCAAAATAATCGGTATATAAGCTCTTGAGTTGAACTAACTAATCGATTGGATTCAATCTTTTAATGTGGTTCAGCCCAAGTGTCTTATTGCACAATCTAGTTGTCCATATCCATCCCAAATTTTATCAGTATTATTGAATAAAGGGCTCTATATATATATATATATATATATATATATATATATATATATATATATATATATATATATATAGCTGGTTAGGGGCCCGGTGCCTCAGAGGTTTTTTTTGTAGTGTGTTTTGTTTGGTTGGAATCCTTTGCTTTTGCTTGCAGGACTTTAATTCCATTGTACTTGGTGTTTTATCTGTGTTCTATTGTTTCCTATCATATTTTTTGTGCAGGTTGGAGCCGGGGGTCTCTTAGAAACAGCCTCCCTACTTCCGAGTAGGGGCAAGGTCTGCGTACACACACTCTCCCCAGACCCTACTGTAGTGGGATTCAACTGGGTTATTGTTGTTGTTGTTGTGTGTGTGTGTGTGTGTGTGTGTGTATATATATATATATATATATATATATACACGGAGTATATATATATATATATATATATATATATATATATATATATATATATATATATATATATATATATATATATATATATATATAGGGATTGACTCTAGTGAGATGACACCTTACGGTGAGATGACATGCTACGGTCAGATGACGCAAAGCTCACCACTGCCAACTGCAAAGCTCACACAAGGACAACTACAAAGCTCACCAAACTATAAGGCAAAGCTCACCATATTTTTTCAACACTTTGAATTTTTTTTGAAAAAATAAAATCAAAGAAAGAGGTGCTAACTTGTGGGGTG